TCACTTAGGCATTCCTTTTTAAACAAATATAGGTTATAGGTTATAACACTGCTCTTACAATATGTATGTACCTTTAACTTAAGTGGTATTGAACTAATTGTAACAATGTTACATGAGAATTAATAAAACTGTTACATTATCAAATATAATAATACCATGGACAAGGTTTACACATAGGAACTCTTGAACAGGACAGCATATTGCGGCGCATAAATCCGAATCCGTACCGGCTTTACATATTGTTTGTCCGACCTTTGAATATATTTTCATATTATGCGAGCGGGTGGTCTTTAATTATCTAATCTCAATTTAATATAATCTGCTAATTTAAAAATCAGTCAAATTTACGGTATATTGAAAAAAGAAAAGGAGTGACATCCGCCATTTACCACAACGTTCGGCTTAAGTTATCCCCCTTGATATGCTTGATTTTTGTTTTAATTTTTCTAGTAATGAATACCAGATGAAAGCCTAAAATATTTATCTATGGATCATGTTTTAATATTCCTTTTTTTCAGTTAGGCAAAATCAGTTGGACCATATTACTAAAGTGTCTGTTTTCTCCATGTTAATAGATCAAAACACGAATACGCCCGTTATAATGCCGCCTATACATGTCAACACGTGTAAACAATAAACCGTTAACGTTATATCCGGACGATACCTGGTAGTTGACAAAAATAACGGGAACAAAATTCTGAAAAAAATAGTAATCAATTGTAGCCAAAGGGGAAAACCCATGCCGAAAATGTTGCGGCGAATGGCGGATGTCACTCCTTGTCTTTTTTTATAATACCGTAAAAATTGACAAGTTTTAAAAGAGACAGATTGGGTTCAATTGATAATATATTTTTTGAGTCCATACACTCGGATAATACTAAAAGATATTTAGATGTAGCAGAAACGTTTTTAAAAACTGTTACACGATCGAAAATATGCGCCGCAATCTGCGGTCCCGTTCTATGGGTTTACACTGACAGATCAAATGGAGGACTCTGTAATGGATTCTTAGTAACTGCAACTTCAGGTCAATGAAAAAGGTTACATACCAAATTTGGAGTAAATCAAACATATAATAGTGATCAAGTTATGCCCTTGACAAGCCTATTAAGCAAGATAAATTAGCAAAGGGCAATAACTCAAAATCATGAAGTGCAGAGTAAAAGTTCGTTTACACTGCATTATTTCTCAATGAGATCTATAATCCAATTAAAGTTTCAAGTCAATAGCTTTTAAAGTGTTAAATTGGCCTGGACAAAAATAAAGTATTATGATTTACAAAGGACAATAACTCTATAACCATGAAGTGCAGAGTACCGAATCTTGTTCTTAATGAGATCTATCATCCTATGAAGTTTCAAGTCCAAAGCTTTTATAATTTAGGTGAAATGGCTGGACAAAAATAAAGTAAGAAAATTAACAATGGGCAATAGCTCAAAAATCATGATGTACAGAGTATCGGTTTTTATGCACTGCACTTTATCTCGATGGGATCTATCCTTGAAAGTTTCATGCCCATAGCTTGTATAGTTTAGAAGAAATGGCCCGTACAAAAATGAAATATGAAAATTAAAAAAGGACAATAACTAAAAAAAAGAAGTGCTGAATACCAGTGTTTACCATATGCATATCAGGAAAATCAATCCACCCCCAATTTTGACCCAAGGGCTTTTATTTGAATATATTTGGTAGACACCTACTAGAAGATATTTCATGCTTAGTATCTAAGCTCTGGCTATTTGGGGTTTTTAAAATAATATTATAAGTTCACCTGAGGACAATGTCTTCAATGTAAGCTTTTTCCGTCGTCCCTGGGTGTGTACGTCAGCAATTTCTTTAAGCAACTTCTCCTCCTAAACCACTTGGCCAAAATTGGCCCCAAGCTAGAGGTCATTGATTCTCATTATAAAGATATAGTAAAAACGTTAAAACAAAATCTTTTTCTCTAAATTGATGAAGGCTAGAGATGTGATATTTTGAATGAAAAACTGCTTAGTGAACCTCCACCAAGATTGTTCAAATTATAGCCAGGGATCACGCTTGTCCTATTTTTTAGAGATAAGTTACTTTTCCTTTCAAGACGTTATTGTGAACACGGAGAAGTGGGTACATTTATAAATATTTATAAGATTTAAGTTCATGATGGCCAAATGGAAATAAAAACAAATGCTTGTATATGACAGTTTATTGTAAACAATAAATATGTGTAACAATTTTAGTTTCAATATATTACAAATATTGTTAAATGATCTGCTGTCCTAATTCTAAACATACTTAGTCAAATTACACTAAATAAACACTTTTACAAACTCATTTTAACCCTTGTACCTCAAAAATACTGAAAAACAGTGCTTTATCACACCAGTCCAACATGTCATCATGAAAGTGAATACAACGTTTTTCGTACATTTTCTTGTATCTACAAACATACAAAGCTATTGAACATCACAAATACTGAAAAAGTGCGCTTAAGCATGTATATCAGTCAAACAGGTAAATAAACATGGCTAACACTCAAATTAATCTACAGACTGACAATTAAGCCCTTGTACATCATAAATACTGAAACTAAAAGTGCTGTTCTATCATCATTTTAGAATTTTCTTCTTAAAAGTACATGTATTTAATGGTCATTATTTTAAATTTTTCTTCCTTAAAGTACATGTATTTAATGTGTTAATATATGCACTTACAGTTTAAGTAGAAACAAACAAATATTCACTGGCACTTTTGAAAAACACAATTTCTTTCTAACAGAAATACCCTCTAGCATTTTCAGTCAATCAACCTGTAACAGATTCTTAGTACAATATCAGAGACTGTAAAGTTTTCTTTCACACTTAGACTTCCTTTGTAATAGGTTGGGAAAGTCACAGTTTAATGTCAGTGCCATTCTCTGAAATTCTTATGAGCGAAACAAGTCTGTTGGTATTCAGTCTACATCTAAGTTTTATCTTAATACGGTCCTGTGTAGAAAACTCTCATTCATGAGCATTTTTCATGGTAATGACAACACAACATTGCAATTACTAACACATAATTGGGATTTCCTTCTCTTACTTCTTGTTCATTATCTCACATATTTCAATCACAGATTCCTTTTCATTCTGAAAACTATAACATTTTCATAGATTCTATATTTAGAATGACATCATCGTTCTATTTTTAGATTTACATCATCCGTCTATGTTTAGAATGACATCATCGTTCTATTTTTAATCTCCCGGAAGTATACGGAGCTGACTAAACTATTACCAATGAAAAAAAGGTTAAAACAAACATCAGTATAAATAAAATTCTAATGAGTTCTAATGAATGCTGTTTAATATCTACAATTTATTTTTTGATTGATTCAAGCTCACATTTGTTTTATCCCCAACATATATTGAGGAGAAAACGAAGTAAGGAGAAATATGTTTTAAACCAAAACAATTTAAATTTGTCTCTTTTAAAACCTATGATATTTGTTTACTTCTTGCTTTTCCCCTACATTTTTCATATTACTTCCAGATTTTGACGCACAAAACTGCACGTTTCTAACTACTAGGTTTTCTACAAGGGTCATTATCATACTACATGTAGTTAAAAACTTATATCCGTGATCATCATGTATGTCAGAAGTAACAAAATGAGCAAATTCATGTAAAAACGTTCCAATAACGTCAACTGCAGATACGTGCTCATTCTCATAAATTACAATGTCTGTCCCCTGTTGGTAACCTTTTACATGTATCCAATCTACTAAACCGTTGCCTCTTTTCAAAACAATGTTGATGTATCTGTTTACTCCACACGTCAAGTTCTAAACAGTGTCATTAGAATAGCCATATCTGGTACAGAAATAGAAAACAGAAACCTCAATTTTTTAAATTGTTCAGTTTATAAAATATTTATAAATTTAATACCACAACGCATTCAAACATAAACTTACGTATTAAACTACAAATTGACTTACTTTTTTATTGAAGTTGCCAGTCTTAAAAGCAATTGCTAACTCGAACTCTCTATTGTCACTTGATCTGCTGGATTATAGGACATTATCTGTAATGGCTTAACTACACGTGTCTAACTGCCATTTCGTATTGTCACACGACATTCTCCTGTAAGAAAAAAAAACAGGAAAAAGTCCTTTTTGTTTTGAACCATTGAAAATAAAAACAATTTATCTAAAGAGATCTGCGATACATTAAAATTGGCATTTCTTAATGTTAGTTCGTGGACGGATTTAACAGTAAAGAAATGTCCTCTATATAATAAGTTTCATTCACATTTGGTAAAGGGTTATGGAGATATGATATAAATAAATTATGTTACAGACAAGACGGACTGAAGAGACCGGCATACTCAAATCGGTGCAATAATGACAACAACTGCTACAGGAGTAAAAAATGAATTTATATTTACAACTTGAAAATAAAACAGCGAAATTCTGTATATTTCAAAAAGAATGAACTAATTCAAAGAATACATACATAAATAAATTGCTAAACAACTCACCAAAGTGATATGGTCCCGTACCATCCATTACCAATAAATTTAAAACATCACCGAACTTCATCGTAAAACAAATTATTATTGTCATACAGCTTAACATGAATGCTGCAACTTGACCACATATATAATTTAAACTCATAGTTAAAATGAAAAAAATATGCAAGTAATATGAATGAAACGTAATGGTAACTAAGGACGTCAAACAAGACTGGACAAGATCTTACAAGTTTATACATGAAATTAACATTTTAGGGTTCACTTATTTTTGTCATTGTTCATCAGCAAACAACCTTAGCCGGCCGAGGTGTTATTATTTACTTTCTAGCCAGAAAAGGTTTTAATATTTACTTTTCAAGGGTCCCGGTCAGCGAAATGTTTACTTATTGCAAACAGGACTGCTTGAAATAAGGATTACAATTTGTAGAAAATGTTGCAACTTTCGTTTGTAAATTTTCCTTATAAACGTATTCAATTGTCAGTGATTGGTGGTTATTTTTAAGAGAAGAAGAAACGGTTTGTCATTGGTTACTATTTTTAGAACATGATCACGTGACTTTACCAATTCATGAAATCGTTCGGGTTGCATTCTGAGCACTGTAACGCTCCCATCTGATTCATATGATCGCTTTGTAAGTAACAGGGCACTACAGAGTCCAGTTCCGGTAGATTTTTCCCAATGTCAGGTATTAATTCTTTCAATTTGACGTACTCTGCTGGTCTAAGGCACAAACATTTCTTAGTTGGCACGACATCGTCCTTAGGCTTCCAGTTTTGTCGAATATCGACGCAAACACACCCAGCTTTAATCGACATGTACACGTTTCCTCCAAGATGAGCATTGTACACTTGTTTATTTCCTAGCGATTGATCCACAAATTCCATTGCGTCCACAACATTTTTCCATCTCATCAACGTTAAGCTGATGCCCTTCTTCGTTGGTTTATCTCCCTGCCATTCCCTTAAGTCTACTCTCAGCTCACCTTTCCATTCATTCACTTGCACGTAACGTTCATTACCGAGACTGTACTTGCATCTGTAGCTTGCCATGTTTCTTGTTCGAGTGTCAGAACTCTAATGACCTTCGTAATCGTTACACCGTCTTTTTATAGATCAAAGTCTCTTCTGATTGGTCCACTTTCTCCTCTTGCATCTGATTGGCTGTTGTATGATGCAATCTTTTGCCTGATTGGTTGATTACTTTCGTCATGATCTTATTATAGAAAATCATGTCCAAACATGTCTTGTCAATCAAATCATTAGACAACTGGATAAGCAGTTATTACAAAAATTACCTTTTTTGTCTTGGTTAATATCACTTTGATCTTATTGCTTGGTTTATTGGTATGCCCCAAAAGTCCAATATCGTAACTGAAAGTTTTAGTCAGTTCAAAACGTTTGCCATGCTTTTTCTCTGTGTCAGGATTATGTAAACACGTTTGGATAGCACTGTACGTAATATATTCATAACAAAACACAGAGGCAATCCAGTTATATACATCCAAGTGTTTTTCGACGGTATGTGCCGAAAGTGTAAACGTAGGTTTCATGATGAAGTTGTTCATGAAATGAATGATTGTTCGTCCCTAGAATGTCTTTTATAAAATTTAAACCAATCAGTTACGTCATGTTTAAGCAATTCAGAGCGGATTTCAAGTTAACCATTCACAAATTAAGCTTGATACGTGTTACGAACAAGTTTAAACGTAGCTAAAACTGCAAAATACGTAATTTCCGACCACCATGATAATTAAATGCGTTCAATATACCCTTCAATGGATTGCTGAGAAAAAATTGATATGATATGACACAAAGATGCTGAAAATCGGTGAAGAAATGACTGAGTTTTGGAAGTTCAAAGTTTAAATCACTACAAACAAGGGAAATAACTTTCATTTTAACGGACAGAACTCTTTCGGTAAAGTACTAAATTCTAAACCCCAATATCTCAGGAATGGTAAAAGATACACCCATAAAAGTATATATTTGCAAAATTGCGACATGATGTTTTATGAAGATCGACTAAACACGTTGAACATTGGTCCAAACAAATAAGACCAAGTAAAGAAGCATTGGCAAAAGCCGGGTTTTACTATACTGGCACTGCGGACAAAGTGACTTGTTTTGCTTGTGGTGTGAATCTGGCGTCATGGGAACCCACGGACGAACCTTGGAGGGAACACGAAAAATTATCACCAGCTTGCATCTACTTGAAAATGACTGGTTACGATAAGCTGCCAATCTTGAGACCGTCCACATTTTCCAAAACCAGCCCTATGGATGTCCAACCAACAAACAAGCCTTCATTCGGATTATGGTCCACGGGTGTCCCAGATAAACCCTGGTTTTATTCCAACAGCGTTACTGGAGCCAATTTGTTTCAGTGCAGTAAAATATTTTTCACTATAACTTTGTCATTTCTTAAGGTATCAACTTCAAACTTCAAATATATGATCCTTATCATCAACCACATCTTATGTGACAAGGTTCATAACTCTAGCACCAACATTTTAAGAATAATCTCCCCTTGAACTTAAAATTTTCCTTAAAAAATACTATTTTTTACTGTTACTTCTTTTTTTTCTTAAATAATCAACCTAATACTTCAAATATATATACCTTATTATCATCCCCATCTTTTGTGACAAGGTTCATAACTCTAGCACCAATATTTTCAGATTTATCTCCCCTTGAACTTAGAATTTTCCTTAAAAAATATTATTTTTTACTGTAACTTATTTATTTCTGAAGGGATCAACTTAATACTTCAAATATATGTACCTTATCATCATCCACATCATATGTGATAATGTTCATAACTCTAGCACTAATATTGCATGAATTATCTCCCCATAAACTTAGATTTTTTTACTAGAAAAATGTTATTTTTTACTATAACATTTTTTAGTTTTCAAGGTAACTACTTCAAACTTCAAATACTTATTTCTTATCATCAATTACATTTTATGTGACAATGTTCATAACTCTTGAAGAATTTTTTACAGATTTATCTCTCTTTGAACTTAGGATTTTCTTTAAGAATTATTATAACTTCTTTACTTTTTAAGGTATCGACTTCAAACTTCAAATATATATTTCTTATCATTACACACATGTTGTGTGACAAGGTTCATAACTCTATCGTGACTATTTCTAGAATTATTTCCCTTGATCTTGGAATTTATGTTAACAAATGTTATTTTTTACTATAACTTAACCTTTTACCCCATGAGCATATTGCGAAAAATGGCCGTTTTCATTGAAAAGCCTCCTGTAACAAGTTCAAACTGCTATGAAACTATGAAAAATGCTTCAATACTGATGAAACTTGGCACAAATGTTGACTACACCATAGCCCATGTAACAGCATGCTCAATCGTAAAATTCCTGTTACCATGGCAACGGGGGAACCTCTCAAAATTGCAAAAAATCACTATTTTGCATTGTTTTTTTTTTTCAATCAAAACTGATTTCAAAGTGCCGTAACTTCTCAATGAATTGAGATAGAGTAAAAACAGCATTTCTCAAACGAAAACCAGTGTTATGGGCCTAAAAAGGGCATTTTTTCAATGTTTGGGGTCTCAAAAAAGGGGGGGGCAAAAAGCCGTCGAAACACGCTTATATAAGGGAAAAGGTTAATACATAATTATACATAAATGATTTTATGCCCCCGGGCATATAGTGATTGAACCGTCCATCTGTCCGTCTGTCTGTACGAGGTTAACCTAGAACGGCAAATTGGATTTATTTTAGTTGGATTTTCTTAAGTTCTACCTGTACCAATGGCTTCTAAGTTTACACACTTACTAATCAATACAAAGTAAATGATCTGGGCAAGTTACATAACTCTGGCTTTCATATTTACCAAGTTATTGCCCTTTTAAACACTTAGAAAATGAATAATGGTTAACCTTAAACGGCAAGTTGGAAATATCTTAAGTTCTATCTATAGATAGATAGATATATTTATTTCGGCAAAGGAAGCATATACATAGTTGACAATATAACATAGGATAAAATAATGAGCATTATTAAATACTATATCACATACGAGAAAACTATGACATGCTCATCAAAACCAAGGATAACACAAAAAGGGGCAAAAAAGCTCTTATGTCCATTGTGGTCCTTTGTATTGGCGGCATGACATAGAGAGGCAGACCTAAATATAATCATGTTTAAAAATAATAATAAATCATAAAAATGTATATCACGGTCAAATCTTGAGTTAATGATACTCCTGTTAACAGCTAGGATTTAAAACACATTACTAAAATTGTAAAAAGATAAATAGCAGACAATTTAAAATCCTGAGCCGAAATATGTTAAAACACGGTAAAAAATAAATTAAATACTGTTCATAAGATGACTTTTGATGGCAACCTTAAAACTTTGTAACCTGTTGATCTCCGTTATCTCTACAGGTAAATCATTCTATAATTTAATACCAGAGAAAGCAAAGGATTTAGAACCCTGACATTTGACCCTAGGTAGACAATACCAACCCTTTTGACTAAGTCTTGTACTATAATTATGTATGGAATCTTGCGAAATAAAGTGTTCAGACATGTAATCCGGAGATACGCCATTTTTATATGCCCGAAAGGGCATATTATGTTATACACCCTGGCGTCCGTGTGTCTGTCTGTCCGTCCGCCCGTCTGTACGTCCGTCCGTCCGTTTGCAATTAGGTTTCCGGAGCATCCATTTGGCCCACAATGTTCAAACTTCATAGGATGATTGTCCATATTGGGTAGAAGACCCTATTGATTTTGGGGTCAAAAGGTCAAAGCTCAAGGTCACTATTACCTTAAAACTGAAAACAGTTTCCGGAGCATAACTTAAGTTCCATGTCGCCCACAATGTTCAAACCTTATAGGATGATTGTCCATATTGGGTAGAAGACCCCTAGTGATTTTGGGGTCAAGGGTCAAGGTCACTATATTTTTAAAACTGAAAACAGTTTCCGGAGCATAACTTAAGTTCGGTTTGGCCCACAATATTCAAACTTCATAGGATGATTGTCCATATTGGGCAAAATACCCCTATTGATTTTGGGGTCACTAGGTCAAGGTCACAATTACCTTAAAACCAAAAGCAGTTTCCGGAGCATAACGTTAGTTCCATTTGGCCCACTATATTCAAATTTCATAGGATGATTGTCCATATTGGGTAGAAGACGCCTATTGATTTTAGGGTCACAAGGTCAAATGTCAAAGTCACTTTTACCTTAATACTGAAAACAGTTTCTAGTGCATAATTAAAGTTCCAATTGGCCCACAATATTCAAACTTCTAAGTATGATCGTCCATATAAGGTAGAAGACCCCTATTGATTTTGGGGTCACAAGGTCAAAGGTTAAGGTCATTATTAATAACTTAAGTATTAATCAACCTACAGCTGTAAAATTTTATAGGATGAACAGCTAATTCCCATGTCTTACAAATGCTTCATCCTTACTAAAAAAAACAACTTTCGGGCATATATTGCTCCGCCTAGCGGTGCTCTTGTTTATCTTAAAAACATGACACAACATTATCTGTTCAACTATTTTGTGGACCGGTAACAAGTTAAGGGACTTAAAGTGGGATGGGTCAATATGGGCTCTGGAGTCCAAGTCAAGTACAAATCTCATAATTTTGTTTTGACAAGTTTGTAACTTATTTTTTAAAGACTGTGTCAAGCTATTATATCAAACAAAGCATGCGTAATCATAGCGACACTGAATAAGAGACATAACCAGAAGTTTCTTGGTATGCTGAGTAAGAAACTCTTTCTTGCAGTAAAGAAATTTTAACCGAGAGTTGGCCTTCTTAAGAACAGACTATATACTAATGGCTTTATAATTTCCACACGTTAATACAAAGAACATGATATTGCCAAGTTATAATAATTGTGTCATCCATATTTCCAAGTTATTTCCCTTTTTTCACTTTGAAAATAGGGCCTGTCTGTTTAACCTATTTCAGCAAGTTGGATTTATCTTAAATTTCTCCTAATTGCTTAATGTCTTTAATGATATCTTTCATATTTAGTAGGTGGATACGTTTGATGGTCCTCTATTTTTTTGTGATTTTTTGTGGCGTAGGAAGATAACTTGCATGGTATTCTTCCTTTGGATGG